CTCGTCTATCTTCAGCATACCGAAGGTCTTGGAAAACCATTTGAGGGTGTTCCACACCTGCCGTAGCTTGTATGGGGTGACCTCCTCTTCGGCGAGCTGGTTGAGGAGAGAGCGGACATGTCGTTCCTGCCATGGAATCACCGTGAAGCCTCTCTTCCGGAGACTCTCGTAGACCAGGCAATGTTGCCTGAGTGTCCGGAACCTATTGTCCCCCAGGAGGTCCAATGCCTCCTTGCGGAAGTCCTCCCCCAGGATGTCCTGCATGTACGCGATGTGCTCCGCAAACGGGGCGAAGTGGGCGAGGAGCCGTTCCGCCCATTTCCCGCGCATATGGAGTTCCAGCGCTCGCTGGGTCGTGGGCTCCATTTCCCTTATTTTGCCCGGGCGCCAGTGCCTCCACTTCAGAAGCTCCGGTTGTTGGAGTGGGGGTGGGTCATCTCGTGAGAACCACCTCCATTGGTCCTGGCGGTCCCATTCATTCTCCAGCGGGGAAAAGTTTTCGCTCGGCTTGCCATCCGCCGTCGCCAGGAGGAGGAGCCATAGGCTGTCCCACAGGTCGGCCAGGTCCGCCGCGGACAGAGGCTGGGGAAGCCTGCCTGCCGCCGACGCCACCAGGCCGTTGAAGTAGTCCGTCGGGACCACTTGGTCGTCTTGTCCTACCGGAATGCCCGAGAGTTCCAGGAGCTGAGCGAAGCGGATTGCCGGCTCACCGCCCAGCTTCCTCCCCTCCTCCTCCGTGCCTTGGCGCAGGCACATCAGGACCAACAGCTCCCCGTCCGTCTGTCTCGGGGAGAAGGACTCATCCGCCAATGTGTCCCATAGGACCCTTGGAATGCGGTCCCAAAGACGTGTGTAAGGCGGGCGCAAAAGAAACTTGGTAGATACCCTAGCCATGATGAAAAAGGGGGGGGGGTGGGGGGGGTTCGAGCCTCCTATCGAACTGCCGGGACCCAACCGCGGCACAATGCATGCATGCTCCAAACGCGCAGAATGCAGAGTGCAGATGGAGCAGGCAGGCCACACGCATCCCGACAGGTCCCCCCCAAAGTCCCGAGAATTCAACCGGGAAGGGGGGGGAGAGCGACCCAAAATCAACCCCCCAGAAACCCCCAAAAGCACGGAGGGGGGAGACCGACCCGGCGGGGGATTCCCCAAAACCCCAAGGGGACCTCAAGGAAGCCGCAGCCACTTTTTCCGAACCGTGGCTGAGATGGCCCGTCCTTGGGGCAGCCAATGCATGTGGCCTCATGGTAGAGGAGATCAAGCTGCCGTGACGTGTTGAATACGAGAGGAAAACAGTGGTGAAAAACGAACCCAATAAGGAAAACCCTTATCCCCTCCCCCACCGGAGACGGGGCCAAAGGCACCCAAGTCCCGGCGGGAAGAAATCACACGGCTCCCACATCCGACAGGGTTGTGAGACAAAACCTAGCGGCTCCCACCCTTCAGGATCGCCTCCTTCGCCACCGAGTGGATTGCCGCCAGCCCCGACTTCTCCGGGTTGCTCAGCATGACCGACCACAAGGCAGTGGAGACATCCCCCAGGCCGTTCGAGGAGCTGAAGCGCATGCGGGGGGTTCTCGCGTCGCCCAGGACCAGCCGCTCATCCCTGGGAGGCTCCGTTGGCTCCACCCTCTTGTAGAACTCCATCCGATCACGGATCCACTGATTGTACAGTTGCTCCGGGGGCTCGTCCATCACCAGCTGCAAGCAGGTGGCCTTATCTTTGTGCCACCCCGTGATCTGGAGCAGTCTGGTCCCCCCGCGGCTCGCCTTCCAGAAGCCCTTGCAAAATCTGCACATGTAGCCCCCCGTGATCTTGAACTTTTCCTCGCTCACCACTTCCCAGGCACTGATGCTTGGCAAGACCAAGCCACACTCCACGGAGGCCCAAAACACATGCTTCGTCTCCTTGGCACCCAAGGGGGGAGCAACCCAACTGCCGGATGAGGTCCTGGGAGTAGCCCAACCTGTCATACAAGGCCGCCGCCTCCTGTGGGACCTGCTCGACCCAGTCGTGGACCACGTTGCAGCGCCAATTGACCTTCACCTCCACCATCGACGACTTGCTCAGGCCCGCCACCAACTTGGTGTAGACCGAGTCGAAGGCCTTCAGCGCGGCCAGCGGGAGGGTGATCCGTTCGTCGCAAACTGCCCTGAAACGCAGCGCCTCCTTACTGTCATGGATGGGGGCCACCGGCATTTCCATCACGGGCAACGGGCAGTTGACGATGAAATTCTTTGCCGCCAGAAATGTCCCCATCTCCTTGAAAATGTAGCTCCACTCCTCCTTGTTGCGCGGCTTGGGGATGCCCAGGCTCTCCAGGAAGGGCACCGCCTCCTTCCTCATCTGGAGGATGTTGCCCATCCACTTGTCCGAGGTCGAGCCCTCCGCATTGCGGCCCCGGCGTTGCGTCTTCACAATCAACGGGAAAGTGGTCCAGGCCGAGTAGATGTACTTAAATGTGAACCTGTGGGCGTACACTCCCGTCAGGCTCGGCAGGTCCCACGTTCTCGTCTGTCTGGCCCAGAACACCCCATCACCCTTCGCCCAGAAGATACCAACCACCTGCTCCGGCGCCGGGCGCTCACCCCGGTTCACCTGAGCTCGGATCTCCAAGACCGTGTAGATGACTGGGTCGATGTGGTCCTGCTCGCACGTGAGTGGGTGAGTCCTGCGCTCAAGGGCCAGGAGCTCCTCCGGCGCGAGCTTAAACTGCTGGTCAGCGCCCCGGGGTATCTCACCGCTTGCGTGCTTCTTCCAGACCCCCCCAAACATCCGGAGCTCTCCCTGGTGCCGCTTCATTGCCCAGAGAATAAGGGACAGCTTGCCATCCTCACAGTCCAGGTCTTGCTAGGGCCGGTGGCACCCTTGGGGGGGCCGGTGCCACCAGATCGGGCATCTCCTCCAGCAGTGCCTCCTGGTGCCACGGGTTCTGCGACGCTCTGAGCATCCTGATGTAGGGGACATACTTCTCCTTGATGTCCCCCACCTCGGGGTTATGCAGCTCCAGGGGGCAGAGTGGGCCCCTCTCCAGGGCCTGCCTGGGATCATCCGGCCACGCCAACACTTCCAAGGGCTTGAGAGTGTGGTTGAGCATCCATGCCTGGTTGGTGTCCTGGGTTCGCTTGTTTGCCGCCTGAGCCTCCTGAATGGAGCCCATCGCCTCAGCCAATGCCTGGCTGGCGTCAACGCCCTTCCCCTCCAAGTACTGGTCTCTCAGCTTGGCCTTGAAACGGTCCAGGTTGACCTTCCTGAGGGCACGGGCTCCCTCATTGGCCACCTCCTCTGACGGCAGGGCCTGCATGCCTCATGGAGAGGCGCCAGGATAGCCATCTCGTTGTCCAGCATCTCCTCAGTGACCAACTCCTTCTGCCGCCGCCTGGCCGAGGCCTCCTCTGGAGTCGGTCCCGATGCCTTATGCAGCTCCTCCTTCTTCCTGATCGCCTGGTCCACCTGGGGGTGGTAGAGCTGGAAGCTCTGAGCCTCCGCCTCCTTCAGGGACCGCTGCACTTTGACCTTGATCTTTTGGCTTTCCCGGACCTTCAACGCCTCGTCGTCCGCCTCCATGGACAGGATCTCCTGCCGGATGTCCACCCGCCTGTTAAGCGGGACCGCATCTGCCATGGTGATCTCATCTGCCGTGTCCGTTTTTGGAGGGGCTCTCCCCAAGACCGTGCCGTCCACCAAGTTGCGGTCGGCCTGTGCCCGGGTACCACCGGGGCCAGCGGCACCCAGGCTTCCCCATTCCCGCTGCTGGATCCAGGTCGGCTTGCCCTCCACGATGAGCAGGTTGTAGGTGATGCCGTCCGCCTCATAGGTGGCCGAGGGTGCCTGAAGGGGGCGAACTCCTTGCCGGGGCAGACCCAGCACTGCTTGGCTGCCTCTGGCCACCCCGTGCCGCATGCCTTGCACATGAACTTGTAATCGGAATGGCCTGCATCGAGCCTGTGCATGCGCTGGGTGCCGATACACGCCTTGTTCCTCTGAAACTCCGAAGCCCAGACCTCCTCCTGGCGGACCTCCAGGATGCGAATCACCAGGTCCTCGGTGAGATTCTTCCCGACAAACTTGTGGAACAGGGAGACCGCCTCCTCCACCGTGATGTCTCTCAGCAAGGTGGCCGCCGACGCTGGAAGGACTGGAAACAGGTCTGGGAGGTCCACCAGCTTGAAGTACCCGGGTTTTCCGTCCACCGGCACCAAGGAGACCGGTTTGTTGGCCTGAGACGTAGCCTTCTGAGAAGCCGCCACGAAGCCCTTCAGTCTCTTCGTGGGTGGCGTCTGCGCCTCCTCCGGTGGTGTGGCCCGCTCCGTGCCGTCCGCATCCCCCATGTCCTTGTCGCCCTCCTCGGCGGGGCCAGGGGCACCCAAGCCGGAAGTCGGTGTGGGCAAATGCCACTCGGAGACGCTCCAGTGCACTGGAGAGGTCCTTCATCACATCGGTCGCCGCAGATGACGGGGGGGCCTCGGGCTCGTCCAAAACCAAGCCGGCCGCCACTGCCGCCTCCCGCGTGCGAATTTCCTGGGCCTCCTGGCTGGCCATTTCAACCTCCTCCACGGTGAGTGTCTGGTCCTCAATCAACTCAAAGGAAGTTGCCGAGGTTGCCGAGGAAGCCATTGCTTGGTCGGGGTTATGTTCGAGAGTGCAAAAGATCAAAGTTTTTCAAACAGCTTGGGTTCCAGGAACCCAGAACAATGCTTGAGCCAAAATGGCACATGCCATTGTGGTCAAGCATTCCATACACAGTTCATGTTTCCACATGCGTTTCAACATTAACAAAAAGTGCGGGGAGCATGTGATGGAACGGATCTTGCCACAACATCGAGCTGCCTGAATGGTTTCAACGAGTCAAGGGGTCAAAATTCAGAACATGCAAGTGGGGAGAAACGTCAACTGTGGCTGCAAGCTCAAAGTACTGAGCGGGCTGCTCAACATGCAAACCTCTCTGGAATCCATGCCCTCTCAGTCTGAGTTCAGACCGATGCATCCAAGAGGCTGCTGCATGGCAGGCAGCTCCTACGAGAGGCTTCATTTGAGCTACACGTTTGTCTCTCAGGGGTTCTAAGCCCTTTCAGCAGAAGCTCTAGGAACCGCAACCTCGGTCCAGCACATGCATTGTCAAAGTCATGATCAAACCTGCGATTGAATCATGGGGGGTGTTTGACTGTTTTGGGACCTAGTGCCGCCTTGTGCCACCTTTTTAAAGACGATACCCAGGGCCCCTACTTTTGACGAATTCGGGTGCCTTGACCATAGGCAGTTTTGGCATAGTGCCAGCCTCCGCCTCCTCTTGTCCCCCCTCTTCGTCTACGGCGGCTGGCCTCAGTTGCATGATGCGTATTCCGGATGTGTACTTGTTCCTTCATGTCCTGACTAACCAAGTAAAGGGTCTGGACTGGCCAGGTTTTACCTGACACCAAGTTGGACTCTCTGCAATTCCCTGGCAACAGACTGCTGGGTAGCCACAAGCATATTGTTTCTTGAATTCTATGGAAAGCCCAAAGCTTCAAAACAGTGCCCGGCATTGGGCGACATTTCCTCAACCAACCAGACCCCTGTCCCCAAAGGGAGATCAAAAGAATGATGTTTGAACTAAAGGCCGAGGTTGCAGCGTCTGTCGCGAAGCCGAACCTGGCGCAAATGTCTACCTATCGCCTGGAGAATCCGTCCGTGTTTGCAGCACGTAGCTGAGTTGCAAATATCAATGCCGCTTATTTTACTAGTAGCGCAGGATGCGAGATGCCCTCATGTGAAGACGCTCTGGAATAATCGCGCTATCTCATCTCGGTACCCAGATCCTTGCGCCATCTCTCGATTAGGCGACGCAGGGCGCCAATGCCCTGTGCCGTGCCTTCAAGGTAGCCTGCGAAGGACTGTGATCGAGCCACGCCCATCTTCGCCCTTGGAGCACAGAGGCGCGTAAAGACTCGTCCTCGCAGCAACCAGACTTGGCCTTGAGGGTACCCTGAAAATCCCGAGCACTTGACACCGGTGCTTCAAACGCCCTGATCGGATCCTTTGATTCGGACTCCAGAATCCCCTGCCCCCATCCAGCTTCTTGGGCTGCCACGGTGTTTCACCTGCCAAGGCTAGCAGAATTTCACGCGTATCAACCAGATGTGCTTAAGTTCTACAAGCCAAACTGGCAGGATTCAAGTAGGTGTGGACCTCCGAAGAAAAATCTTGCCCATATGAGAAACTGCCCACAACAGGGCTCCTGACTTTGACGCATGAAAAGTAGATCTGAGAATTCGCACATGCGATGTCTGGTGGGGGGGGGCTGGGATGGGAAAAGAGAATTCGGCAGGGGCCAGAGGTTCCTGGACCCATCTCTGCAGCATCCAAGCAAACGGGAGTTCAGCGGCAAATGCAAAGACGGCAAGTCGCCTTGGCATGTTGCTTTGGAAGCTTTGGAAGACAAATGTGGCCTAGTTCAACCAACTTGAAGGACATTATGGCGGGTGCCTGCGACAGGAATCGATCCGTTGGTGGCCAACATGCTGTGTCCAGACCCCCATCCACAAGCCTCCCCAAAAAGCGATCCTTTGTCCAATAGTGTGTCGCTTGAAGGCCGCTGCTAGGCTTCAACTTCTGTGAACTATCCTCAAGCCTCATTGAATCCCGGCCACGCCTTGCACAGCAAAAGATTGAGAACGAGGGGCGCTCATGAGCAGCAGCAAGGGTCCACAAAGGCACCCGCCGGATTGCATCTACGCGAGCATCCTGCCCGGACGATTGAATTCCTTGTCGCTGTCTCTTGCTTTGCTTTGGGCTCGGCGCTGGTCTTGCTTGAGGTATAGGTGGGCTGGGGTCCAAGCATGGATGCTCGCTCGAAGCTGTGAGCTGCGAGCCACCGACACGGCATCGAAGCTGTGAGCTGGAGGTGGGCCCAAGTAGGCTTGGTGTTTTGGGGAGGGGGGGGGGTGGAGGGCTTTTCACCTGCATCACCGGCATCACCAACAAGCACCGCCCTGCAAAAGGTTGTACTAAGTTGCTACGCTGCGTCGCCCTTTGCTCTTGCCAACGCATCAGCAGCTTTGGAGCCTTTTGCGAGCGCTCGTGTCGTTAACATTGCTGCCGCGGGCCGACCTGCGCCACCGAAGGGAAAGAATCTGAGCTTCTGCAACAGGCTGAACTTCCATTAGCACTCCAACTGAAGACCGCAACGTCAAGAACCCGGATGGTTTTCTGATGTTTCCGGCCACAAATCCAACCAAAGAATACGAGTCTCCCTCAACCGTGTTACCCTCTCCGGGTCACCACCTACCTGAGACCTCACTTATGCAGGAGCAGGGCCTCATGTACATGCAAGTCAAAACATGCCGGCGTGCGTCGTGTGTATGCTTTGTTGAGGGGTACCCGTACCCTTTCTTAGGGGTAAGGGAAACAACAAGCACAATCGCCATTTAGGGGTGTCCGAATCCCTTCACGACATCTTGCCATCACCCAACGGTTTGCCGCGCTTCGAATTCGTGCGCCGCGGCGCCCAGCGGCTACAGCTCTTCGTCGCGCATCTGAAGCATCGCCTCCTGATCCGTGCATGTCAAACGAGCTGAACCCCTGGGTCTGGGTGATGTTTGAAGGGCTAAGGTCAACATGAAACCGACAGGAATCCCTAGCCGAGCACGCAGCCAATCCGCAAAAATGCCGAAAACTGGCTTCCATTGCAACCTTGCTTTCTCGCGTCTCACGAAAACGGGCGGCTCATGAGATGTGCATGAATTCAGCAGGCCCTGTCACAGTATTGTATGGGCTCTTGAAATTCGCGGCGCGTGCTTCATTTATAATTTATGCACAAAAGTTGATTTGTAGCTTTTGAAGGCACTTGCGTCCATACTTGTCCACCTGGCGCCACCACACCTGGCACCCAATCCTGCATGTCCGCTACGTAAGCCACCGTGAACATTTACTGTTGCCCTACAGGACATGCAAACTTTTCAGGGTCTCCTGGCTTTGGTGTGAAGTTTGGAACCTCGCGTGAAGCAACCCTTGTCCAACCTCTTGTCGCAATCCTTGGCCCACGTGCCTGCTTGTCCTGATAGTAGGCCCAGCCCAGCACCCCCATGATGAGGGCGAGAATAAGGAGACCTCAGGCAATTCAATGCAATCGTTGAACCTGACTGGTGTTGTGGACAGTCATTGCTTTCCATCACACTCTCCCGTCTTGACTTGCGGCATGGGGCGCTGTCCTGTAGATTGCACTAAGTCACCAAATGATAGAACCAAAACTGGAACAGGTGGAACCCATCCATTTCAACAAAACTGACCCAAGCACACCCATGTAAGCATCACAGTCGACGTTGGGTGTCCCGGCCAATAATCAGGCCACAGTACTCGCCGATGCCTCCCTCTTCGCCATCCCCCTGCCAAGCGCGGAAAACCTCCGGACTGCCCCCCCTGCAACCCCATGGCACGTTTTCACGGAGCCCAACTGTGGCCAAGAAATCAAGCAAGGGTCCATGGTTCCCTGACTCGTAGACTTAAGCCCAGGGTGGTTGAATTGGCCAAAAGGCAGGCCTATGGATAATCAAAAAGCGGAAAGCGGAAATTTAAATGTCTCCCTGGTTCTGCCCAGGGATAGACATACCGTGAGCGCATGCAGTTTGCACAAGTGAGAGGCAAACAACCATGTGCCCTGCTGACATGTTCGCCACAGGAGTTGATCAGGCAACACTGGCTGATGCAAGAACGAAACCCGTTTCATGTCAGCCCACATATCTAGAACAACAAAACTGCCTTCAATAACCAAGGCCAAATGGGATATTCTTCGAAACGCATATTTTAATGGCTCAAAAAGCAAATAATCGAATATTATTCACGTTGGTGGGAGTTAAATCCCTGGGTGAGAAAAGCATTATCGTGTGGCAGTAACACATTGCAAAAGAGCCGCGCCTCTTCGGTCCAGCTGCGTATTTCTTTGAGACGCTTCTCGTACCTGGGTGCTCGAATAACTCTCCACCTATCAAACAATGTCTATCTTTTCAGGATCCCTTGCCTTCAAGGGAACCCAGTGGAAACCACCGCATTTTGGGGGGAGGTACCCCCCCCATTTGGACACATTCCTAACTGTCAACGGAGGAAAACAAGCGCCACGCGGCACGCGCACCTTGCAGGCTCATGTCCACGGATTCGCCCGCAAGTCTTGCAGGCGTTGCTGTCCTACGGCAAAGTGAGCTGTGAGACTGCAGGGCTCGCCGGCCTTGTTGGCGGCTTAGCACGGCGTGAAAATTTGGCCAGACCTCAACTCCCTTGCAAGAAGCTGCGCTTGCTGGTTTGCTGGCAAATGAGTAAAAACAAAACGAAAAAAGTTGACAAAGTAGGCCTTTGGCCTGGCAATGCTGTTGCAGTCCTCTGTGTTCCTCTTGTCTTCACAAAGGCGGCATGTCCAAGTCCTGGCAACAGGCGCCAAAACAGCTCAAGAACACAGGCGAAAACGACGACGATGCTGACGACGACGACGACGACGACGACGACGACGACGACGACGACGACGACAACTATGACCGCTACCACAACAGCAACGATGACGATAGCAACCATGACAACAACATCCACGACTACCAAAACAACAGCAACGACGACGACCACGACCATGAACACGGCGATAACAACGACAACGACGACCCCGATCGCGACCACACTGACGACGACAAAGACAAACGCAACCGCAACCACAACCAAAGCAGCAACAAAAACGACGGCAACAACGACGACGTCCACAACAACAACGACAACGACGACAACAGCAACGACGACGACCACGAACGCGACCACGACCGCGATGACGACAACGACAACCGCAACCGCAACCACGACCAAAGCAGCAACAAAAACGACGACTACGACGACGTCCACAACAACAATGACGATAACAACAACGACAAGGACGACCACGAGCGCGACCACGAGTACAACGACAAAGACAACCGCAACTGCAACCACGACCAGAGCAGCAATAAAAACGACGACAACTGACAACAAACAACAAACAACAAA